ATATGCAGATATGATACAAGCGTGATGAAATGAGCACATTGGAATTATCGTGTAATTCGCATCAATCACTGGTAAATAATTTTTTAATATTTCTGACAGCAAAAACAATAAAAAGGGAAATAGTTTTTCCTGAAATGCAAACTTAAGGTTGCACGCAGTAAATGGATAATTTGAAATTGACATGGTTTATCTCTCTCTCTCTCTCATCCTTCTCCCTACAAGTACTATTTTCCATTCATTATTTAGTTTAAACAGACTGTATTAAATGTAATTTCTCAACTTATTCCGCTATGGTTACGAGAATAAAAGTTCCTTTTTTTAATGTCATTGGAACAGGGCGCCCTGTTCTGGCTCCGGGGCCATAAAACCTAGATAAGCTCACTTTTGAACTCAATCTCACTTTCTTACTATTAATTCCTTTAGTAAAAGTGAGGCTGAGATCAAAAGTGAGCTCATCTAAGTTTCATGCCCCAGGAACCTGATTTGAATGTACAGTATTGTACGATGTTATCTCGTGATCTGTGAAAACAAAGATCAAGGTCTATTATGGTCGTTCAGAAAGGTCCATCAAATACTTTTATAACCTCTCCACTCGGTCTTTTATCACCGACAACTCTTACAATGGCCCAGATTTAAAAAAAAAAGAAAAGATAAAGCATGTTCAAAGAGGGGCAACTCGTCCTCAATAAACACCTCTTTCACTGATAATATATAATTATTTACTTTTAGCCCTGGAGATAGTGGAGTGCTACAAATATTTCTTTTAGACCACAGATGTTTTTACATGCAATAAATTATATCGCCGGTATATTGCACATGTATGTACATGACTGTCTATACATTGCGATAAACATGAGAAACGAATACATATATACAAAATGTACATGAACGTACACTGACATGAAATGTTTACATTGAAACGAAAGCACGCGACCTTACCTGTGTCTCGATTCTGCTGTCTGTTTAGATGCCCAACTTTTCACAATTTAACCTTTGGGCTTTTATTAAAAAAAGCCCTCATAAATAGAACTATAGTAGGTACGGTTGAATGCTCTAACGGCTTCAGTTATATTATTTATTCCTGAATGTCCTTTATACATGAGGGACCTCCAATCTAAAGTGCTCGAATAGGTACATGTAAATACACAGCAGGGGTATATGATGAGAGAGTAAATAAAAAAGATGTCTATCAAAAAAGAAGGAAGGATTTTATTTTAGTTGAAATGCAGAAATGAATTGCATTGGTAAACGATATAGCGAAGAAAGGAAACGGGTGCTTATCCACGAAAATGAAAGATTTTAAAATGATTGCTTCCTGGATTTTCCTGTTGTCATTCAACTTTTCAAACACACATACACACACACCCTTCAGATCCACCTCTGCAAATTTTCATCACTTTAAACACAGTGCCCAGACCCGTAGAACACGGGGGGTCACCTTTTTCCTGAGTATGATATTTTGCTATTATAGTAAATTTTCATTTAGATACTGGTGTCCCCCTCACTTTTTGTTGCTGTAAGGTCGAGCACTTGCAAATTCCAGAATTAAAAAAATGTACCAAAAAGTAAGAGAAAATTCCACTCCTTCCTTCCCAAATCCCCGAAATAGGAATTTCGAGTTCGGATAGTTTTTTTGGTTTTGTTTTGTTTTTGTTTTGTTTTGTTTTGTTTTTTGTTTTTTTTTTTTTTTGTTTTTTTTTTTTTTTGCTTGTGAGTTTTTTTTTTTGGGGGGGGGGGGGGGTGCTACGAGCTTGATACGTTTTACTAAAAATACATCTTTTCTTGCATACTTTCTGTTTATCAATAAAAATCTACAGTCTACAGATCCATAATGCATTTTATTTTGGATAAATAAAAGATATGTCAGACAGACATATGTGTTATAATAAGTACCTAATTTGGAGAGGTTCTTGATATTTTACTGTTTTAAGCAGAGATGTTTATGAATAATGAGAGGTGATATTTTTTCATAATCGAGTTAATTATACAGTAAATTATTTTAAAATTGTTATTTTGTACTTTATTGTGCATTTAGTGAAATATATAATGTTCTTGTGACGTTCCTTCATTCGTTTGAAGCATATAAAAATAAAATAAAATTACTTATCATAACTATGGATCTGATCACAGGAAGCATATACGGCATCACTTCCAAGACGAACGGATAAAACGTCACATGGTTATACATTTTGTAGCTCACACCAAGCCCTTAAACCATAAACTAAGAACAGACTTAGGTCAAAATTTCAAACCAATTCAATTTTTAAAATAATTTTGATATTAATGAAATAAAATTTTCTACATATTTATGAATTAATTTTGTACATGTATATTTTACAAACCTGCATAATAATATTTGTAAGTAAGAGGAAATCTGCCATAGTTTACTCTTAGGAATGAAGTAATGTGCGTCATAATCTAAGGAACCGCAAAAGATGGAATCTTCAAGGTTCATTTTTGCTCTCTCTCTCTCTCTCTCTCTCTCTGCGTACAATTCATGATTTCAGTCGGGTAAAAGTTCCAGGCACTGACAGTTTTTGAAAAGCCTGCAAGTTCTTGGAGACAAGCTTCATGAATGTGATAATGAACATAGCGTCCTCATCATATGAGACCAAATTTCCTGTCCCAGCATTTGTTATAGCCTTAGAGACCCATAGTTATAGCCTTAGAAAACCATATTAAATTGATCGCCAAGACTCATGGACCTCGTTTTCAAATCGTTTGTCCCTCCGTTTGCATTTTGTTGTGAATTATATCTATTGCTTATCATGCGGCTACCTTTTGCTGAAAAAGTACTAAGAGTAATGTTTACTTGAAAGACGCTGGGAAAAAATTAGAAGAGAGAGAAGGAGAGAGAGAGAACAAAAGTGCAAACCTTAAAGATTAATATTAAAGTTATTTGCTAATACATTATCTTTACAAATAGAAATCCAGTTTAAAAAGTTTCTATTTGTTCACGTCTATATTCCGCTGATTTCATCAAAGAAGGCCCGGACAATACTGCGCGCAGGCTAAAATATTTGATGGGAAAAACTCTATAACACATTTTTGATTAAAATCATTCCAATAAGTACCTCCTATTTTTGTAAAAGTACCACCTGTTTTTTTTCTTTTTTGAAAGCCCTGTATGGAGCAAAGGTAAAATACTTTTGAAATTTCTGATTAACTTAATCACACTCTGGGATATGAGCACTTGAGACAAACATTTCATTACTTGGTAAAATGTCCATAGATTACTGCAATCATGTATACAGATTGCTAAATATTCAGGAATTAGACAGACTTTCCAAGAAACACTGGTACATGTACTGTATAATTAATTGTCATATCATATTGTAAATTTTGAATTTACTAGGGGGAGGTAAATGCAAAATTTACAACATGATAGTCAATATATGAACAGCTGAGCCCCAACCTCAGACATGTGACATTTCCCCCCATCCTTTAGGTGGAGCGCTGTCCTAATTTCCTCAAGACTTTAGTTGAATGAATTTACAGTTTAACTTTGAAAAATAGAAAAATAGTACCATTTTTTTAACGATTATCACTCATGCAGATCCTGTCTGCGGTACTGTAAAAATGCACAACGTCGATGTTCAAATGTACTAACATCTCTTCTGCAACTGTGCAGTTCTATGTCTCAGTCTTTGTTTCATTTGTACCAGTTGAATTCATTTGCATTGTTGGTAATCAAGTGCTTCTAAGATCTTTCCCTCTGATTGTTTTGAGAGAATTCTCTGTGTAACTATAGATAGCTTGGCAAAAATTTCATAGTACTTGTGTTTGTTAAAGTAAATAGAAATATGAAAGTTTTCAATAGAGAAAAGTATACACTATAATTAAACAAAGTTTTTTGTGTTCACTAAAGTAAATCAAAGTATGTACTTTGAGCTTTACATCACTCTAGTTTACGATAATGAACAACGATAATCTAAATTTTACTATAAAAACATAGAATCAGCGTTCTGCCTTATCTACCCTCGGTTAAACATTATACATAGGAACAACAACGTTGCACATTTTTTACAGTTTAAACTGTTTCATTCATTTTTCATCTGACAGATTTCACCCTTTCAAGCTATAACTACCTTATGTCTAGTGTTAACCTGGTCTCTCATACTTTTTTTTGTTCTTTGGAAGTATAGATTTTAGTAAAATAAATTTTACTTCTTTTAGTGTTCGCCATAGTAAATCAAAAAGTGTACTTTGAGCTTTACCTTACAATCGTTTAAAATAATAAACTATAGATTACTAAAATTAATTTGACAAATCACAATTCCATTCATGAAGTACAAGTAATTTCCAAGAAATAAAAAATAAAGTATTAATTAGAGATAGCAAAGTCCTAAAGTATTCATTATAAAAGTTTTTACTCTGGTAAAAGTTTTACTATAGTTAAAGAAAGAATCAATATTTTTACTTTAATAGTAAATCAAACTTCTATAGTATTTACCATAGTAAATCCAAGTATGTTCTACGACGTTATAGTGGTCGCCCGCGTGGCGCAGTGCTTAGAGCGTCTGCTCTAGAGTCGCGGAGTAAGGAGTTGCATGATATTTACGTCGCGGGTTCGAAGCCCACTGTGGGACGTGGAGACCGGTCTTTCGGATGAGACCGTATAAACCGAGGTCCCGTGTAACAGTACGTGCTGGCACGAAGAAGATCCCTCACTGCTCAATGGCCGTAAGTGCCGAGTATAGGACAAATTTGCAGCTCTCCACCGGCAAATGGTGGCGTCTCCATATGAGTGAAAAATTCTCGAGAGGGACGTTAAACAACATACAAACAAACGACGTTATAGTAAAATACTACACTATTTTTTTTTAAAATATTTTAACTATTATTAATATAATTATTTTTATCATTTACTTATTCATTTGCTCTGCTTCCAATTTGTTTTGTTTCAATTTTTTTTTCAGCTTGACGACTGTTCGTTATCTCCATATTTCATTTCATTGAAATAAAATGTCAAAGAAAACCATAAATACAGAACAAATATGTAACACATGTAATGCCTTTATTGACCATAGACTTTATTGTACAATATAAGATGTACATAAATATGTGTAGAAATTTGAATTTTATGAAAATTGGATGTATATTTAATTAACAGAATAAACAATCTCTAGGAAATTACATCACTTAGCTATTTTTCCAATTTTCATTTAACAGAAATATCACATTTACATGGTCAGCATAGTGCAAGGCATTACAGACATGTTGTCTATTCAGCGATGGAAAATTGTATTTAATTTTCTTGAATGCTTCGAAAATCCGCTCCTTAATGCTACTTGAGAAGTCGGACTCTAACTGATCAATATCGTTTTGCTGAAGTCCAAGAAAGCGAACCACATGGACGTATCCTTGAGCAACATTTCTAGATATCCGTATAAAATCGTCGTCAACTACACGAATGTTTGGTCCCTCTATTGTAATAGAATGCTTTTGTAAGCTTTCAACAGAGAAGGAGCTAATATGTTCCACCAGATCCTGTCTTCCTAACTTTGAGAGCGCTTTCTTCAGTTCCTCCACATGGTCAAGTTCGGGACGTTCGCACTTCCAAGAATGCATGATTTTATAGAATATTTCAGGATTATACTTTGTCTTACAACATTCGACGACTGTGGTATCGCCTAAGAGTATAACACAAAATTCTAGGGGACTACTACCTGATAACTTACGTGAAAGATAATCGAACAATATTTCGTTACCTGAAACAAAAGAATTAAAATTTGCTTACAATAGTTATAGAGACACCTCACCTACAAATAAAATACACACGTTAGTGCATGCATATGTTTTATTGACTTGATGTGGATATTCCCATACATTCGAGGAAAATGTACATGTATATATACTAGTTAATAAAAGATCTGATCTGATAAGATTTATTTAAATCTTTGTTTATGTTTATTGTTTTATTTTACCTAAAACATATTTACAATTAAAATATCACTCACTTTATATGGGTAGGTTAATTCTTATATATGCTGTTTAAAATATATTAAACACGTATTTTATGTGTAAAGATCTGTATGTTTTCTTGACACATATGTTTCGATTTTATCTTAAACTAAAAATACTCTGCAGATGAATTCGTTTTAGAAAACCTGCTTGCATTCGCTTTCATTTCGAGCATATTTAGATAGCAAAAAATAAATTCTGATAAAGGATGACTGCACTTAAGGAGATGCGAAATTTGCGACAAAATAAATTTTCAAATTAATTGCAGGAATGGTCAACATCTAATCTACAACTTTACGTAATAACATTAAATAAAAGTATGTATTTAAGAAGTACGAGTACTTTTTCAAAGTGGGGGTCAACGCGATTTCTCGAATCTCCGTGCGATAATGAGGACGCCCACTTTTGTACTGACGTTATACATAGTCAGCGCATGTTTGTCTATTGTTCTCGTTTAACAGTAGTTGTATATTTGCATAAATGATATTGTGTCAAGAGGAGATTAATGGGGGGGGGGGGGGGGAGGCACTTTAATGTACACTACCAAAGGACGATTCCATATCAATATTACTAATCATTGCTTTGCTGTTCTTAAACAGAAAATTTTAACGATTTTTTCCCCTATGTTTTCCCATTTTCCCATGTAAAACTCTGATCTCTCATTGTGGGCCCACCCAACCCACCCTAAATTTGAACAATTTTGAATCTTCACTACCTGAGGATGCTTCTATTTATATGACAAATCATTGCTTTGCTGTTCTTGAGCAGCAGATTTTTTCTTCTTATGATACTTATATAATCTTATATAAAACTTTGACACTCCTGGGGGTCATAATTTGAACAAACTTGATTCTACGATATCTAAGGTTGCTTCTGTATGACTAATAATGGCTTAGTTGTTCTTGAGAAAATTTTAAAGGTATTTCCTATGTAACGTGTATAAACAGACTTTTACAAGGGATATATCTTTAAGGTTTTCCTTTTACTCTGTCCGAGTTAATGATTGTAATGATTATTAAGACACCTTTGTCTGAGGGTATGTCACACAGTACTTAAATTTTCTTTTATCTAGAGACGGGTCTCACTGTGCTTCTCCCCTAAGTTCCCATTGATAGATAAGAACCGGGTGTCTCAATCTTCTTCAGTTTTACGACACCCAGAACTTAACATCAGTTCCTTAGGATACTTGCCACTGGTGTTTATAACTTTTATACTTTTATTTTGCTCTTACCCTTAAGGTTTTCAGTCCCTAATAAGACCACATTCTCTATCCGTAAATGTCCATCACGTACTTAATACTCTGACATAAACATTTTACAGTAGAAAAGGATTAACCATAAATCATAAATTAGGACACATCCCACCCTTACATGCTGATAGTAATAAATGGGCATTATGTCTAAATATACTGAGTAATCAACCCCTACACATGTTATGTATTCAATTTCATTGAATCTATCGATATTAGTAATGGAATACCTTAACTTCTTTATTGCTGACCCAACATCTAACCCCTTCAGCTGAATTCCTGATTTTCCCAAAGCTTTGTCTTATATACCCTTTGGTTTGGCTAGTCCATTCCAAGTGTTATCAGGTCTTTCCACTATTTGAAGTTTTCAACAATGCGTTTTACTTAAATGCCCCTTAAACATTTCACCTATATACATGTATTTCTATGTTAAACTTTGACTCACTGTTTTGGTCCCGCCCTACCCCCGGGGGTCATGATTTGAACAAACTTGAATCTACACTACCTGAGAATACTTATGTATTTATATGACTAACAAGCATTCTGAGAGTATTGCATTAGCAATACTTGTCCCCTACAAGTGTAATCTGGTTCCCGTTAAAAATTGAAAATGCCATAATTCCGTCAAAAATCAATGAAGCGGAACGAAATGCAAACTTGATTTATAAGTCATCGAGGTAAAGTCACATACCAAAAATCAGCTCAATATCTGCATGCGTTTAGAAAAAAAGTGAGGAAAACCCTGAAAAATTGAAAAGGTCGTAATTCCGTCAAAAATCATTGAAGCGGAACAAAATGATAACTTGATCTGTAACTCATCAAGATACACTCACATACCAAAAATCAGCTCAATATCTGCAAGCGTTTAGAAGAAAAGTGCGAAAAACCAAGTGGGACAGACAGACAGAGGGACAGCTAGACAGACAGACAGACAGACTCAGAGGAAACCTGTAGTCCCCTCCGGTTTCACCGGTAGGGGACTAATAATGACCTAGTTCTTCTTGAGAAGATTTTTTAAAGATATTTCATATATATTACTATAATAAACTTTTACAGCCTGTTGTGGCCCTGTCCTACCCCCTGGGGTCATGATTGGAACAATCTTGAATGTAAACTACCTGAAGATACAAATATACTTTTGATATAATATAACTTACCATGGCTATGTTGTTCTCAAGAAGAAAATTTTTAAAGACTTTCCTATATATTCCTATGTTAAACTTCGACCCCTCTTGTGGCCCCGTCCTACCCCCGGGGTTACGATATTAGCAATCTTGAATGTAGAGTATGTAATGAAGCTTTGATATAAGTTTTACTTTTTCCTGCCCAGTGGTTCTTGAGAAGAAGATTTTTAAAAGATGCCACCAAATTTTCACAAATTCTTAATTATCTCTCCTTGAAAGAGGGCGCAGCACTTTCTATGAACAAACTTAAAACCCCTTCACGCAAGGATGCTAGGATGCTTCGTGGCAAGTTTGGTTGAAATTGGCCCAGTGGTCCTTGAGAAGAAGTCGAAAATCGTGAAAAGTTTAAAGACGACAGACGGACGCCGGATATTCTTTGATTAGAAAGCTCACTTGAGTCTTCGGCTCCAATGAGCTAATTGTAATTCACCACGTGATTTCCTACTTCAGGTAAATCTGTGAATACTAAATTTCGTCACGTGACATGTAAGGTAGCATGTTTTCTGCTAACTATTACATTGTGTTCGGACACATTTAAAAATTATCAGGCGTCGACTTAAAGCTATATATGGCGTATCTGAGCTTGAAAAATAAAAATACGAGAATGAGTGTAAATATACATGATATATGTTATTTACGTTCAAATTAAATTTTACACCGATTTTGAGCTTGAATAACCTCACGTTTGTATAGTTAAGGTAGTCCGATCCTCAGGTTCTGAAAATCCGCTTTTAAGTAATTGAAAATCCTCACAAAAATGTCTCTGAATTCACATAGTAACGGGAATTAACCCATGGAATTTCTTCAAAGTTCATCATTATAGTTGGTCATATTATATAGGGAAAATTATCAAATCTCAAATATATTTTCAGGAAATGCGAATAAAAACACCAGCTATGCATTTTCTAATTGAAAATTGATTCAACAAATATAATTTAGGATAGAAAAATATAGGTATCCAGGCAGTTGGAGAAAATTGCATCTTTTTTATGCTTATACAGTATTTCAGTTCTTTTTACTTCAATTGTCATTTGTGTAAAAAATTTACTAATTTGTCAATTTGTAAAAATTCACTAATTTGTCAATTAGCATAGTGTAAAATGCTTGTACTATCACTGATAGACATCACATATCACATTTAATTTCATATATGCTAATAAGCATTCACTGTGGTATTTAATTCAAGACTAAAGGAAAATCTATTTCTCTAAAAATGAATTAATTTTTTTCTTTTAAGGGTACAAAAGTCAACTTTTTACAAGACCGTTTCTAGAATCTTCAGAGAACTTTGAATCAAATTAAGACGCATAAAATGAAAATTGTTGCACAAAAAGATCTAAATTTCAAGCTTCATTTTGAGACTTTCTAAATAAGATAATAAATTTAAGAGTTATTCTTCCTGGCTGCGGATCGGATATCCTTAAATTGACTTTACGTTTGTCTGTTATTTAAATGTGGAGTCAGTAAATAAATCGGTTATTGTTTAAAATTTTTAATATCTTTGAAACGCGATTGATTTAAATTGTGTAATTTACAGGAAAGTCCGATCTTTATATAAAGTAATAAAACAAATAGAAAGATCTTTTTAATTTTGGTTACCTAACTTATAAAAAATATACGCTATATATGACTTTAAAATTTACATGTACATGGGCGTACTTATATTGTTAATTTCGTTTTGAAACCCTTGTAAATAGCGTGCTTGTGCCATACATCAAAAAGAGGTTGGTGGGAAAGAGTGATCATGTATTCTTTTTAAATAGTGTCATTGTTATTTATCTAGTCTAATTTTAGACCCATTCTTACAAAGTTCCACCTCTTATGCATACCTACATGTAATGTTAAATAAAGGGCAGGCTAGTGTGAATTCTCTATATCTGAAAAGCAATAAGGACAAAAAAAACATAGATTTATTTTATTGTATCAAAGTCTAAATACATTTTAACATTTAAATTTTGTGTACAATTGATAGGATTCTGTACAAAAAAAAATATATAAAGGTGAAAATAAGTTAAGAATACAAGCAACAAAGCGACCGAAAAAGACCCAAAAACTGGTGTTAAGTGCATTCATCCTGTTGACCTTAAAGGTTACTAAGATAAGTCTTATAAATCATCAAGAGAATCGCAACTTGGACTGCGCAATTTAAAAATAACAGTATGTTAGGAATAATTTTGCATAAAAACAAAAAATGTGATACGCTAAAGAGCTCTTTATACGGTACATTATGAGAGTGGTCTGACCTCGCAACAGCATTTAGGACTTGAGAGACGAATGATTACAGATACATTTACACTACACGTATACGGTACAGATGCCATCATCTGCTACTATATAGTACGAAAGAAAGTAAGAGAAAATTTGGATGTCATTGAGAGAGTCATTAGGGGACGACTATTTGATGGGGAGAGGTGGTTTGCAATTTGTTTTTGTTCGAGTCAGTTTTTCCATGCCACTGAGGGGCGGATAAATTTCCATTTTATTTGTTCTCTACTAAAAAAAACAGTTTGACAAGGACCCCCCCCCCCCAAAAAAAAAAGAAAACTAAGGAAAATGCCAACCTAGAAAACTATATTCCGGGGGGTGGGGGGGGGGGTGTCTGACCGGGAAAAGACAGATGTTTTTATTTTAATACCAATCGAATGCATAGTTTTATTTTACATTTTCGAGGACAAATTATATTTATTTCCAAAATCTGCCCCACCTCCCCCCTCGAATCAAACGGTCGTCCCTTTTTAAATTTAAAATTATGCAAAGGCTGTCATACCATTAACTTTTAATTCCATTTGAATTTGATCAACCTTTCTGCGTTTTTGGATATGATTCTCATCTTCTTGCTTTGCTACAATGCAATAAAAAAATACTGAAATCAATTGCATTAATCCATTTAATTTCCAATAAATGAATTTTGAAAAAAACTAAATTTATTACTCCTTACTTTCTCTTCGCCGCAATCCAGATCTACTTGATGAACAGGGGGGTTCAGAGGCAGATAATGCAGTTCTGTCATCTATTCTGTCATCTATTGAAGTTTTAGAAAACCAATTTGAAACATTTATTTTGGGTAAATAAATTGGCACATTATTTATCATAAATAACGAATAATTGTAAGCTTCAAAACAGTTGACACAAATTCTGTTATTGATCCAGGAAAGGACATATATTTTTTATCCCGAGACAACCTTTGTTTCAATTTTAAAGAATATATCGGGAAAAGTTTAAAAAATTACAATAATGGCGAAAAACAAGTTTTACAATTGCTAGTGCTATAATCTATAATATTTTTATGGACATAAAGCGAGTAAACATTCAATAAATAATAAATTGTGTGGTGTTCGTTTACCTCCCTCTCCTGGTAACTTTCTTATCATCTCTTCAATTTTATCTTTAGCTTCCTCGAGCTTCATTTCTTTTCGTTTTAGTCCTACAATAACATCTATAATGCTCTTGGAGACTTCTTTTTCTCTGAGCCGGGTTGCAATTTCTTGAATTTGTAGGGAACCAGAAGACTTTAGTGCAAAAACATAACGTATAATTGTGTCTGCAAGGCGTTCTATGTCATCCCACTTCGTGTATGTAGCTTCTTCTTTTGTTAATCCAAAATCACCATACATAACGGTAGGGTCATCCTCGCTTTTAAAAAAAATGTTGCCTCCATGTATGTCATGGTGCACGAGATTAAGGGAATGAATGTATTTCAATCCCTCTATTAAGCCTTTTAAAATGTTTAATTGGAATTCATGATTATCATATTTATCCTCATGATCTGATTTTCTAAGAGTCCCTCCGGTACAAATCTCCATCTCCAGTACATAAAACTTTTGTTTTTCAAATATATGAGAACGCAGACTGATGAAACGAACTATATGTCTACATGACCCATTTTGAAATAATTCGAGGTTTCTTTCTATTTCAGTGTCCTGAAATTTTGACGCTTCTACAACTTTTAATGCTAAAAACTTTAAAAATGTTTTAGATTCACCCTTCCACTGAGCGCTATAGACACTGCCGTAAGATCCTTCATCAATTTTTTTTACATTTCCATAACTTTCATTGAAATTCTCATCTTTGTCGACAAATTCCTGAACCGATACTGCTTGAGTTGCCTTGTTGTGCTGAAAGAAATTCTTTTTAATATCAAAGAATGTCATACATTTATTTTATTTGAAAATAAACAGTAAACATGCTCAAAAGAATGACTGCATTATAACATAAGCGTTCACCTTTAGAAGAGAATTATTTCCCGGAAAAGTCCCATTTTATTAGTCCCCTACCGGGGAAACCGGAGGGGATTATAGGTTTCCTCTGAGTCTGTCCGTCCGTCTGTCTGTCTGTCCCTCTGTCAGTCTGTCCTACTTGGTTTTCCGCACTTTTTTTAAACGCTTGCAGATATTGAGCTGAATTTTGGTATGTGCGTGTATCTTGATGAGTTGCAGATCAAGTTTGCATTTATTTTCGCTTCAATGATTTTCGACGGAATTACGACCTTTTCAGTTTTTTCAGGGTTCTCCGCAATTTTTTTCTAAATGCCTGCAGATATTGAGCTGATTTTTGGCACGTGACTTTACCGTGATGAGTTATAGATCAAGCTAGCATTTCGTTCCGCTTCATTGATTTTTGATGGACATATGGCATTTTCAATTTTTAACGGGAACCAGATTACATTTGCTGACAGCTCTGTTATTCATACATAGTAATTTTATTGTCAAAAGGTTTGAAAACCCCCTAATTCCTCGTGCGTTCACTGCTACAGGAAGTCATTTTTTTTCCTTATAATTCTAGAGTTTTCATGCATATATGTCTAATGGCAGTCAAACATGTCTTTGTAAGGGAGATCATTCCAAGACATTTCATTCATAAAGTAACAAAGGAAATGTCCACATTTGGGGGGGGGGGGTCACTTTTCACATACAGAGTCCTATAAAATGACATCCTAAAAAGGAAAGGGAATACCGGTGAGGGACATGCAAGCCAAAAATTGATGGTTTGCAATTTTAGATAAGACCTGAGAGTTGGCTTAAAAAGCTTTTTCCCCCTTTACTTCTTTAAGCACCAGCAGCGCAGAGCGCCACTTAGGGATCACTTTACCCAACGTTTGTCAATCCGTCTGTCACACCTTATATCTCGAGAACTGTAAGAGGTATGATTTTGATATTCTCCACATATATTACTTGGCACTATGGCTTTTAAAATTACCACCGTTACCGACTTCGTTACCCTTGGCCAATGTACAGCATATTTTTGACATTTAAGAAGTAAGTCAATGCTATTTAGCATGCGCACTTTGTCATAAAACATAATGAAAAATACCAGAATTACAATCCACTTGATCTTTGACCTACTATGCTGAAAATACCCCGGGAAGTTTAATTAAACTTGTGACTTTTGATTTTTGTGGAGCACTGTTTTGATGATTAGCATTTATACATGTTTATGAGTTCATGATACGGTTCGTTGAAACTGTGTATTCTATAGTTACCTCACAAACTTATATTTAAATACAGTAACTATGAAAATACATCGGGATCGATATTCCACAATGAATCGTGTAGACTTACAATATCAAAGGGCGCACTTGTTTCAGACATCCGGGCGATGACCCGGTTCACTTTTATCACATGACATACTGACCCGGTTAGTGTCGCTGAAACGAGTGAAAATTCAGCCGAAAATGGCTGCTACTGTTATGGGTGCTGTTTCTGCAATATATAATTTTCTCTGAACGGACGAGGACAACGATTTAGTGGATATATTTGCATTTTAGTATTTTCTAGATCAATCCAATGCACAATCTCTTAATTTGTAGTACAGGGCCTCGTTACAAACAAAACTGAAAAGTAACTTTAAAATTATAAAAAGGAAGTGTTGGTCGTGCAAATATAAACGAACATTTCGTAAAAGTTACTTATGACCTCAGTACTGTATGTTTATTAAAATTGAAACCACTGCAAATGATAAAAAACGAATATTTCATCATCAAGGAAATTTCTACCTCCGTTTTCCGCCATATTGCTTTTCATCTGGCCGCTCGAATTTTTTCGGGCGATCCGGGCTACTTTCTGACCGCCCGGCGGCTTAAAAATATTTGAAACAAGTTACTTGCCCGCTTCCGGAAGTATCTGCCGGCTTGACCCGGCTTATGAAACAAGTGCGCCCAATAAAACAGACTGAAATCATTGGAAACACGTATTCATAAAATGTAACAAAATTATTTATAATAATTTCAATTAAATTATTCATTTGAGGGTTGGGGAACCATATTTTCTTTGATTGTCAGATTCTATTGCAGTCTTATACTATCCATGGATGCTTTTTTTGCATGAACTATCAGGCAAGCGGTAAATCTAGTCCTCCCGACTCCTGATTAGTGTTTTTTGTTGATATTATCCTTATCGCAAAACAGATTCGGTTCAACCTTTTCAGGCACATTAACTATGTTGAACTTAAGGTGAAATATCCCTCTGCTCTAAACTTCACCATTTTGTTTTAATTCCAAACATTAATTTTTATCAACAGCAATATCATTAGATTCGAATTGAAAATAGTTTGAAACGAAGCGTTGCTTACTTTTGTAGAAATGAATATTATTTGTATTCATGATATCAAAAAAAATTGATATGGTGAATAGAAAGATCAAAATTTTTATCTCAACAAAAAATTAAAAATATGAGGTATATATGAAAATAATATTTACTGTCATACCTATTTAGTTCATATTATAAAACATAATGAGTTGCTTTTTAAATCAGAATATCACATTGTTTTCTGTGGTTGTAAAGCAAAAAATGCATCATTCTATAAGATTTTTTATCTTTCCATCTACAGGAGTTATTTTTCTTCAAAACATTTTTAGAAAAATAAAATATATTATAACCAATTAAATGTTAAAATTCTGCATCTGAAATTCCTGTAACAATCAAAACAGTTCTATGTTACTAGATAGAAATATCTCAGTTTTTTGACAGTTTAAAGGAATTGAGTATAAATGTTTTAAGAAAGTATTGAGTAATTAATAAAAATATTGGCAATAGAAAATAGAAATCAATATTTGTAACATACTTCAGATTTGATTGAATTGTCTCTATAGTGGTCCTCATTTTTAATCTCTGGTAATACAATTCATTGGATTGCCTGGAATAATCTCCTTGTAAAGTTATCTCTCAGCAGAGGGGCATTACACCTTAATTCACAGAAACACAAAAATTTCAAAAATGTTATGAATGGTGGTTTTATAAACTAAATTGAGCAGTTAGATGAATCGGTATGGTTTCTACATTTATAACCTGGTACTAGACTTCATCGCTTTTTGACAGATGTCCTTCTCATACTTAATGTTGTTGATATATTTATGTATGTGGGAACCAGCTTTAATGTAGCAGATATGCTTAAGAAGTTTGAAGCGATTCTTTTTAGTGAAATGAAGAATGTTAATAAAGATTTTGCAATCCGGAACATTCAGGAGTCAGAAATCAAAAGACCTTAATTTGAAGTATCATTGTAGTAGTAAATAAATAGTTGACCACTCTTAGATTTATTTACATCTTTAATGAAGATACAAAGCAGACAAAACATGCGTTTCCTTTGAACACTCTAGTTTTCATGAAATTTTATTTGAAGTCCTACATGACAGGCCTGCTCCAAAATTGAAATACATGTAATTTACAATTTATAAAATTATAGATGGATAGACAGACAAACATGTCCACCTCACCACTTCATTATTATTATTTTTTTTTGGGGGGGGGGGGGGGGGGGTTAGCAATATATTAAAATCAATGTATACATTAAGACACAAATTATTTTTTTTATATTTACATCTATTATTAGTGTGATTTTTGCTACTGGTATTACAAGTATTTATTTTATCTTCATCAAAGTAAGATAATTCTTACTATATATATAAACTTACAATTTCCAACAGCTTTTCGGATTTGGGTGGTAGAGTATCCTCCATTCTTTCTGCCATGCTCTGTTTTTCTTCCTTCCAAATAATAAAGTGAAATTAAGTACACGAATTCCTATCATCATAGAATTTGGCTGTTTAGCCAATCTCAATTAAAATTAATAAAATTCATGCATGATTTTAATAATGTGATTTGCCTCGAAACTGACTCTGTCCAGTTTTGTATACCAAAAAACATCAGAGAGTATAGATGTATGAGTATTTTTTTGGAGTGCATATACAAAATATGCCAACTCCGTTGGAAATATATAGAGTAAGTTTGTGTCATCAAAGAATTGAAAAAAAATTAAATATATTTAAAACATTTTAGGCTGCACCGAAGTCTTATTATGTATCCCCCCCCCCCCCCATTATCTCCAAAGTTGATTATTTAAAAATATGAATTCTGAGTAAAGTTAGTACACAATAGATGAAAATAACCTTGAAAAACAAAAGGTTGTCATGATCAAACTAGATCAAAATGTAGTAACTCAGATGATCAAAGTTAATGTATACAAAAAGTGTCTTTACAATTATCATGATTATAAGAAAACTAGTATATAATAATATATAACCTGAGAAAAAATGGTATATTATGCAGTATTAATATTGAAAACAAGTAATTCTTTATAATTATCATTTATGGATAATTTGGAATCTATATAATGGGGCAATGCATTTTCTGCTAGTTCTATAATTTTTGAAGAAAATTAAAGGCCTAAGGAAGCTCAGCAGAAATGGGGAACATATAAATCAAAACATAGAGTTTTTGGATTATCTTGACTCAAATATATATCATATATATAAAAAATGTAATGATACGAACTTCGAGATTAAAAAAATCTTGGTATAAGGAACTGTTTTATTTTCTCTCAGAAAACCTAGCACAAGAAAGGTAACTCACATAAATTAAATCAGCTTTTCAAAATGTATACAAAAACAAATCGGAAAAAGGTGGTGTTGAATGATAACGATAAAAATGATAAATACACATTTAAGAATCAAATGTTATTTTTTTTAATACACATGAATTTGTAAAAAAAAAAAAAAAAAAAAAAAAAAAACCATCCACAGTATAATTATTATGTAACTTTTCTCAAAAATGACATGTAGGAACACTTAAATGATGTATATAAGATTTTTCAAATATTTGGTATTTTGAGAAGAATAAGTTCTCTTTTAATGTCCGAGCGTAACAATTGTGAGAAAGATATCTATTACTGTGATTTGTGATGAATTCTCAGGACACCAGAGTGTATTTTTGGAATATTTATGGATTTGTACAAGTTACAACCAACAAGGTATACAATAGATTTCCAATCAATCTGCATTAAGTATGAACAACCTATGCAACAGCCTAGTTTTTTTCGTACATGTAAATTGATTTTTTATACATGTATACACAGATAAGTACCATCTTATATATTGAATTAACATAGTATTGTCACAGACTCCTGACGAATGGATAGTGTAAACCCCCCCCCCCCCTAGTGTTGACCATTTTTCCTTCACCGACATGAATTAAATAATCTGACTCGAAAAAATTTGTCAGTCTTAAATATTCATGATTATTTGCCAGACTTCCTTCAAATGTCAGCAAATCAGAAGGTCATGACGGTCGTACGACTTCGTTTTGCTTATAATCAAAACATTCATTTATCAGTGATTTTTCTACACCCAATTTATGTCCGAATATCGGCCCTTTCCTCTTTTAAAATTGCCAATTTTTTCCCCATTTCAGTTGCTTTTTTCCCAACATAATACCGTTATTGCTTTTGTTAAATAGATATTTTTATGTACAACTTATCTAAAATGGTTCTCAGTCATTCAGACTCTACAAATAATAGTGAAGAACAGCAGATTATTTTGTGCGTTTACAAGACTTAAAAAAAACCCACATGGATTATGTCAAACGTGAAACCAAATACATCGTAAGAAAGTGTAAGATGCATGTGAACCAGTGAAACATAGCTTTATTTGTAAATCCAAGTACTAGAAGTTCAACAAGCATCCCCGATTCCATGAAAATCAAACTGTTTCTACACCTGCCAGATGCAACTAATATTGCAGAGTAAATGCAGCAGTATGATTTGGGTAATTTAGAAAGCTTAATAATTAGTAAGAAAAAATGATTTGTTATAAATCATGTCAGGTTTTATCATCTTCAATGGCTATTATGATTAGGATTTCTCTTATGTCTACCTTTATGGCAAAAAAAAAGGGGGGGGGGGGAATAGAAATATAGCACGGTCTCAATTAATGACAATTTCAAAGATTAAAAAAAGAAAGTTAAAAATGTAGAACTGTTTCTAATTTATTTTGCATTAAACATTTTGAATAAATGATTGATTTTTCCCAATTTAACACAAATGTCAATAATTTTTCCCAGTTGTAAAGCCCAGGCCCCTTTTAAAAAAAATGTACAAAAATCACTGTTTATACATGTTAAACATAACTGAATTATGACTAAATCTGCGTTCCATACTTTTGCACAGAATGATATATTTTCTGCTTCAGTACTGATGCGCATTACTGCTGCGCATGTGTACAAAATATTCTGTTGGTAATGTAAATTGTGAACAATAATGCTTTTATCAGTTTATTGTTATGATTATGTATTATGAGGGTTTATAAATGACAAATTATTAATTATCAACCTATTTCTAAATATAAGTTCTATTAATTTTCGGTCTTGTTTGACATCTGTAGTTGAAGGTTGATTGTTTCTATTTGATGTTTAGAAAGGGCATTTTTGCACAGTGTAGCAATATCTAATTCTTGACATCTCTTTCCTGTCTCACGATATCAATGTCATTTACTCATACGTGTTATCAACTTTATGGTTACATCTTAGGATTGTGTTCTTTGAATTTGTTATGCTTAGCTCTACCTAATTTCAGTCTTGTAAATTAATGTCATACGGATTCCTCCCGTTCATGCAACTTTCTTATCCTTAAGTTAATTGGCTGGACAGTAAGAAAGTGGGCGGAGTTGTCAAAGATTAGATGTGAGTGAATTTGTATGTGAGTCAATCTATGAAAATTCTTTGTAAAATTCAGTTTGTTCCATCTACGAAATTTCTTTGTTAAATTCAGTTTGTTCTAAGTTGCATTTTGTGAAATTAATATTTTTGGACTTATAATAAATTCTGAACTTTAAAATCGTTTTATCATTTGGCAACAATATTACATTATATACACCACGAAAATAAAGGTACCTAAAAGTAGGTCAAATGTGTAGGAAACTGCAAAAATATGTAAATACCAACATGCATATGACATATAATCAAGTTGAACGAATCTACATAAATATTATGCAACACGGTGAGAATTTTTAAATGCAAAGTTGGAAAATAACTACTCAGTAATACTGTGTTGTACATGTTCACTACCCATGTAAACAGCATGTTTACATTCACAAACTGAAAGTACAGTAATAGAGTTACGGTAACTTATGCATCTGACAAAATAAAAATATACCTAAAATCAATTACCTGTCAATTTTCAATGAACTGTAAGATGTTTACATAATATTAATTTCGGAAGGTACACAGATGTAAATACAGCATGTAAGTTCTTTGTTCTTTCCCAGCTATGAATAAAAACAATAAAAACAAAACCGAAACTACAAAAAGACAAAATAATTCCGGAATACATTTATATACATGCAGGTTAATTACTTGCTCACATATATTTTATGAAATAAGCTGACCACCTTTTTTTGTTCTGAACTTAGGTATGAAAGTCTTATTTTCTTTTATCATGCACAATCATAATTATTAGGTAAATGAACAATATCGTATAAGTTTTCTTTGTTTTTAAGAAATATAGACACCAAAAAATCAGATCAATTAATTTAAAAATCTAAAGTTTGATAAAAGTATATAAAAAACAATGTTCAGTAAGATGTATTTTTACCCTTTATTTCATACTATTTCATCATGGTAAGCCTTGTATTATATATTGTATAAAATCGCTTGCTTTGCCTAACAAAAAGATTTTTTTAGTACATATATAAAACAGATATCCTTATTTGCATCATCCACCATCATTAACATTAAAGCAGTATGTGCTGCATTTAAGAGCATTTTATTTTGTTGTTAAAATGTGCTGTTATGATAAATCTGTATGTAATTGTGATTTTTTCCAAAAGAAAGATTTCTGTACAATGAAATGTATAGTATTAAATAAGAGATCATTATTGTACAGGATGACAAAAGTGTAATTTTGCTTCAATCAATGCTTATAAGTAGTTCTTCCATCGCAAATATGAGCAACAGAAGTTTATAAACGTTCCATTTTTTCTTCCAATCAAATAGTTAATTACAATATTGCAACAACAATTTTCGACATAAAATGTGCAGTTTATATTGCTTTAACTGGGAGTAAAACCTCCTCTTAAATGTGATATTTTTTAATATTTCAGTTTGTATGAAATTGAGAGTGTGCCAAGATTTGTCCTTAAAGCGACAGTACGGCTGCAAAACATGAGCTTTTTCATTCAAATTTTACCCAATATATCATTAAGAAATAAGGTATAAAGTTGATGTAAGCAGTTTGAGAAACAGAAATATTCTCTCCTCATACAAAATTAACGTAATTAGAATCTGCCGGAAAATCAAGGGTCGTACGAACTGGAGCAATATATGTAACACGTAAATTATAAAACGGCATGCACGTGCCTACACTGTAGCGTTTACAAATAATAATGAATATGAGGTAAAAGCAATTTTCAAAAGCAAATTATCACAACTTTGTGATAAAATAATCTAAAATAATAATCGTAAAAATTAAAGTCTGCTTTCGGGCAAATTTAATAGAATTAAAAGTACAAATGTTGACGTTTTGTGTATTGCGGTCCGAGAAAGGAAAAACCACCAAATCATACATTATCGCGGCAAATGTCAAACAAAATATTTTTCTGCACAGTTTAAAAAATTAGCACTTCAAATGGCAACAATGTTTATAAGTAATAGGTGTATTTTTATGTTGAGTTTACACTATTTTTTTTTCTTTGGAAGCGATGAGAAATGATAAAAAGTATCAATAAACCTGTCGAGTAGAAACTTCGCGAGCCCTGCGTGAGTGTCGCTGAGTTCCCGTTTCTTCCTTATCTAACGATTATATTAATCCCCAAACTAAATTTTAGTCAGGAAAGTTGCTTTTTCAAGCTTTATTTTCAGTTTCTTTTTCTTTTTGGTCGATTTTGTCAATGTAGAAGGCCTACCGGGCTTCCGTCTCTTACCATGCTGTTTTGTTTATGAAAACTACGAATGCGTGCATAGCATGGAATGTAGAACCCAAAACACGTTGTGATGTATATATTTATGTCCCATAAATAACTATTGATTTTAATGAAATAATCAAAATTATTTAATTGTGAAAGTTGTAATTTTCTGAAAGTTTATACATTTATATGAGTAGTAAAAAAATTCCAAATCTTGTAGGAAAATTTTATCAAGTCAGTTGTCACTTTAAACAACTATGTTTCTGACGACGCAGAATTCATGGTGCCACAAACCAATAAACATATATTGAGAGGATCGATTGCATGTCACAGACAAACATTTAGTTTGGTCTTCATCTAGACGTATTACGAATCAGTACAGTGTAACATAGCAACATACCGAAGCCCCAAGCCAAAATGGATCTACATTAGACAGAATTTTCAGAATATGTTTGATGATTTCAAACAATGCCATGGCATTTCGAATTAATTTGAGTATTTGAACAGGTGACATGTACATTATATACATATATTTAATTTCAAAACTCAATTGTTATTATAGGAAATAAAATATAACAATTTGTACAATCATATAGTAATATTTTAACATCTCATAACATCACAGGATAGACGTACACAATCCAGTCAACTGAATTGTGACTGAAAAGTCTGGAAAGGTCTCTCTGCCATTCAGTCACCTTTCAGTAGTTTTTCAGTCTTACTTCAGTTAAATGAATAGCAAAGCATCATCCTATGCATGTCACACTTAGTAGAAATTCAGTTTGTTTATTTACGTAAAATAGGGATCTTTTTTACACGACATAAAATAAAAATAAAATCATATGAAAATTTAACGATGTTTTGCATTTATGACAAATTATATCTGCTAAGAGTATACATGTATTTCATACTTGGGGAAAATCCTTTCGAAAACGATGTTTGCTTTAATGCTTGGATTGCAGTCTCACCGTTTTATTTATATCATTCATTCAATTTTTAAACTAGCAGTTTGCCGTAACAATACCTCGAGTATAATACATGGCTGACTAATGTCTTATAAAGTAATCTGTGTCATCTTCTGATTTTTGGATGTAATGATATAATAATAATAGGTGTTTAAAAGAAGTAATGTCGTTGGCCTATACATCTCAAACACCTACGTGTGGCTGCAAGGTGGTTTAAGCTTTAGAAAGTTAATGATGGTTCATTCATAAATGAACATGTAACTCAATATTTCAAATCCTCAACTAACACAATTCAGTTAAGGTATGTCACTCATGACACGAATTATATAAGATTTTTGAGAAGCATGTATATTTTAGCTAACTACTCATATTCAATGGCTCAAAATCGCAAAGAAAACATCTTACTGAGCAATTAAGTTAACCCTACCCTTTTTGCACTTAAATTGAAACTTTTCGGCTTGTCACTAAAACCTGTATCATATTTTTTGTCAAATGTAATCATAGAAATATACATCATTTTATTTTATGTAAAATAGCTTTCATAATATTTATTTTTAATAAAATCCTGCAAATTAATGCGCGTAAATTATTTTGTGTCTGTAAAAATAATTATAATTGGGGTAGTTTTTTTTTGTTTTTTTTTTAAAAAGGAATAAAATTATTTCTTGTTTTAAGCTTTTAATGATCTAAGTGCTAATCGGTGAAAGTATCGTGAAATTTAAAATAATGAAAGAATAAGTTAGGGACAATGATGTAAATTTTGAGATTTTTCGTAAAAATATGCGATTTTCAGGAAAAAGTAAAAAAGAATCATCCTGTCTTCTTAAGTATGTCTATATCTTTCGACAAAATCTGTTGAGTGAATGTGTAAAATTTGTTCAAAAAGTATTAAATAAAACTTTTTTTTTTTTACAGTCTTAGCATATAATAATTGAAAAAAAAAAATTGCGAGTAAAAATATTTAAGGATAAAGTTCCAATACATTCAATTTCACGACTGTGTAGATTTGAAGAGTTTTCTTCTGAATACCCTCCACCACAAGAAAACCTCCATGTTCCCTGTTACCTCCCATGTTCACTATTACAGATTTTGTGCCCGTAGTGGGGGGGGGGGGGGCGGCAAAAGAAAGAGAGAGGTTAAGAACATGATGGAGAAGGACGGTGGAAAGTAGGATGAAAGCCATGCAACAGACCTGGGGATCATTAACTAGGCTAATGTTGATTTTAAAGAAAGTAAAATGAGTCTCATTTATTCATCGGAAATAAAATGTCATACGTGGACATTATAAATGTTTTCAAATTCAAAAGTGTTTATCTTTAATCTTGTTAATGTGGTATGATGAAAAGTGAAAGTGTCAATCATTTTTGCATACAACCTTGGTTTGCTTAACCTGATTTAAAATGTCTCTTTTTAGGGGGGGGGGAATAAGAATTTTCGTTCAAGAAAAGTCCTTTTTAGCAATGACACTAAGTCTAAAATGCTGTTCGGATTTTGTTCAGTTCTAGCAAAGTAAACCTTGGAACAAAAAATAGTCCTGGTATTTCTACAAGATTTTGTGTTCTGCCTTTCAAATCCAATAGCACCGATAGAAATTTACGTCATAATTTATTCGCATAAATTTATATGAGTTTCTTAAAGGCGCTGCAGTCGGCTCGGACAAAAAGTTATGATGGCGGCCAATTTGTTATTAGAAGAGAACATTCCATAGGAAAAGTTTGTTCACGCGTCGGTAGAGGAACACACAAATATTCAGTTAAAAGATGGTTGAAATGTGGTGGGCTTCTTACTTCTGGAAAACGACCGGATTGAGTAGAAAGGTATCAAATAATTGATAATGTCTTATGCAAACAGTGAAAATCATGAGTATCACGATTGAAACATTAACGTAAGCAATAAACTAGTTCTAATTGTAACTGGTACCGTTACAGATGTTCCCTAGACACTCCCCAGCTCCTTTTTGGAGCTGTTTTTCCCATAAGCTTCAATGAATTAAGCAAACTATCTGTATTATAGACTTGCTTAATTTATTTGCCGAAGTACAATGTATTAAGGGATTATAAAAAAGCATATGTAGCAAAATGAACATAAGCTCAAGTATGTTATTGAATAGTAAAAGAGTTACAGCCTCAAAAGTTTCAGCCAATCAGAATTCAGCAAACGTGCATACATGGTCTTGTATTCAATTTTGATAGTAGAATGATGTAGGAACCAATTACATCTATCTATATTCTAAATATCTACTCTTCTGTTGAAAAGTGAGGAAGTTATAGCCATGTAGCGTGTCAGCCAATCAAATTGCAGCACGCATACATGCGCATGTTTTCAAGAATTTCTGTATATATACCATGTTGAACCTTAATATATATACTTA